AAAAAAAAAAAAAAAAAAAAAAAAAAAAAAAAAAAAATTCATTGTACAGCATTTTTCAATTACTCCTCATAATCTACTTATTTCACTGGATTTGTGATTTATATTAAATCCAGCAACCAAATGTCAAAATATAAAGTGGAAACTAGGACATTATCATCATTCTTCCTCATGCTCACTGGGTCCCAGCATCTTTCAGCCCATGACCTTTTTTGTCCTCTTTCTGAAATCTTCTTTCTCCAGATATTTGCCTGGTATGCTCTCTCACCTCCTTCATGTGCTTCTCAGAAGCCCATGCCTCATGATCTATATGAAACTGTAATTCCCCCAACCCCGCCTCAACAATCCTTACCACTTGTTTCTTTCCTTACCTTCTGCAAAAACACTAATTTACTTATTCTGTCTATTGTACATCTCCTCCTAATAAAGTTAGCCTCCCAAGGGCAGGGGTTTTGTCTTTTTTTTTTTAGTAGTGTAGCCCAACTACCTATGACAATGTTTGATGCATCATAAACTCTTATTAAATATATGAATGAAGTAACTGGCTACCTCAAGAATGCAAAAGAGATTTTAAGAGTATATCATGTAACCTATAGAAAGGTTAATTATCCAAAAAGTTGAACTCTCCAGAACAAATTAGGAATATGTGTGACTTCTGGATGGTCAAGGCAGAGGTTTAAAAAAAAAAAACCAAATGTCACACTTTGTACTCAAACTGGTCCCTTCTTACAATTCTTCAATGATTTGTGTGTCAGTTAGAGGCAAGGTCCAATTCTGTAGCACAGTGGTTCTAAACTTGAGAATGTATCACAATCACACAGAAAGTCTGTTAAAAACAGATTTCAGGGCCTCACCCATGTGTTTCTGATTCAGGAGATCTGGATGAGGCAAGGATTTCTAATAAATTCCCAGGTGGTGTTGATGCTGTGCTGCTGGAGAAGACTTTGAGAGTGTCTGCTTTAAAATGACCTACAAGGGTTGCTTTTATAAGAAGACACCTCTTGATTTCTCTACTCTAGAAACCCATATGCCCATCACCATAATCTAGTCACAAACAACTACAGCAGGGTCCACCTTTCTCCTTAACCAACTCTTAGAATTGATGATACTCTCTGGTTCTTCTTGGAGACAACCCACCTGTGTCCACTGAAGAATGCTTGTAGGATCTCTAGGATGCCCTGGAACTTCTGCTGCCTCTAGGTGAGTTGTGTGTCTACCAAGAGTCTTTTACATTTGTTCCAGAACCTGTTTAATTCCTACTGTATTTGTGAAAGTAATGAAATTTATTTAAAGATTAGATGATCTGGAGCAATCTGAATATGAACAAAATAGTGTGATTTTCATGAAAACTAAGTTAAATAATCTAGAATGAACTAATACAAACAAATGTCAAAATAACATGTGGGGACAAAAGCAAAAAACAAACTAGACAAAGCTAAACTAAAAGATTAGGGGAAGCATTTATAAAAAACAAAATCCAGAGAAGTTATATTCTTAAATTGTTTCTAAAGCTTTTTTTTTTGTTTTTTGTTTTTTTGCAGTACTGGGGAATGAACTCAGGACCTTGCACTTGAGAGGCTGGTGTGGCAATATTGAACTAAGTCCCCAGCCCTAAAGCCTTCTTAAATTTGTACTTTCCTTTTGAAAAATCAAAACTGGAAGTCATAAGTGGTCTCAAATTGATTCAAGAAATACAATGTGAAACTCTAATCAACAGAATCAGTGCTGGTAGAAAGGGTCTTGGCCCTTCAGTAAAAACCTGGCAAATCAATGTATATTTATTTATTGAGAGTGAAAAACAAATAGTTAAGGTATGTGGTAATCACTTTTTATATTTGCTTCAGCACGTATATTTGATTCAGTAGGCCAGCTACTAATTCCTGATTACTTCTAGAGTTTCCTGCCTTACTTGCAGACTTCTGCTTAGGCAGTATTCTTCCACACTCCAGACCATTGCAGTTGCTCTTTTCACCTTCAGTACCTCTACTGTCACCTCCACTGTCAACTTCTTGTTAAAGAATCAGTTCCAGCCAAGCATGGGCACATACCTGTAATCCCAGCACTCTAAAAGGCTGAGGTAGAAAGATAGCAAGTTTGAGTCCAACCAAGGCATAGCAACTTAGAGAGATCCTAACTAAAAAAAAAATTAAAAGGACTGGGGCTGTAACTTTGTGCAAAGACTCTGAGTTTAATTCCCAGCACCACAATAAGTAAGTAAACCATAATCAATCAACCAGCCAACAAATCAACAAACCACAAATTTCAGATCCATGACCACCTCTCTTGGAAGCCCTCTCTGATATCCCTAGACAAACTTATTCACTCTTTCTTTGGGGTTCCTTTAGTACCTTACATGTGGCTAGTACTGGCTGGTGATTCTTTGTTTAAAACGCTTGGACTATATGTTTTGGATTTTGGAATATTTACATATACAAAAGGAGATATCCTGGAGAGGAGACCTGAGTCTAAACATAAAATTCACTTACATTTCACATACTCCTTATACGCATAGCCTGAAGGTAATTTCATGTGATATTTTTAGTGTACCTGCATTTTGACTGTGACCCATCACCTGAGGTCAGATGTGAAATTTTTCATTTGTCATACCGTCAGTGCTCAAAAGCTTTGGATTTTGGAGCACTGTGGATTTTGGATTTTTGGATTAGGTATGCTCATCCTGTATAGCAATTTTCACTTGGTCCTGATTATTTACATGTCTGCTTCCCACTAGACCATGTTCAAGAGCAGGTTCGTGCACTCTGTTATCTAGTAACAAGGAAAAGAATCATGCACATTGCTACAACCTCTAACTCCACTACAGAAAAATGCAATAGAATTGTCAAGTATGCTAGGTACAGTTTTGGAAGCTTAAAAATGATTAATCCTTAAAAGTGATTAATTATGTTAAATTTCTGACTTCAAAAGGGCATGCTTTCATTACATGGGAAGTTTTCTTTTTATGGATCCCTCAATAATGTTGAATTAATGAAGTGTCACTCTGTAGATCATACAAATTGGTAGTTTAAGCAACTAAGTGCCGAACAGCGCACACAAGAAAGCTGTCTTAAGAAATGTCTTGTATTGAAAAAACCATAAAGTTGAATTGAAATTATACTGTCATAAGTAAGTGCTCTTATGGCAGTAGCAAAGGGCAAAATAGGACATCTATCAATCAATGAACATCTACAGATTTCCTACCCTGGAGAAGACTATTTGTTACAAGTATAATAGAAGAGAGGGAACTGAAAATCACTATCACACTGGAAGATTTCCATTAAAAAGAATTCTTTCCAGCCAAAGTAATTATAAAAAGATGTTCATAATTTAAATAAAGGTAAAACATTATTTTATGGGCAAACTACAGTTCCACTATATTCAAAAGAAAGGAAAAGAAGAGCAATATAACACTTAGTAATCTTATCCACTAGAAGACTATAAGTTCAAACCATTCAACAATGAACATATTTATAAAAGGCTATGATTACAAAAAGCTTTTATACCTCATTTGATCCCAGTAATCCCGAATCTGTGGTACAAAGCAAACATTTGTAATTTCACTTTAAATGAGGAAACAGGGCCCAACAGAGTATTTTCATGTGCCAAAGACAACAAATGGCTGTAATAATAATGGGGTTCAGACTGGGAATGTAGCTCAGTGGCACCACACCTGCCTGGCAAGCACAAGGTCCTGAGTTCAATCCCTGGTTCCCCAAAAAACAAACAATTAATAGGGTTCAACTCAGGTCTTTTGACTTCATATTCCAGCATTTAAATAAACAGTACAAATTTATGTTAATCTTTTTTTCATTAAAAAAAAAACATGTGCCCCCTTCGGCAGTACATATACTAAAATTGGAACAATGCTGGGAGTGGTGGCGCACACCTGTAATCCCAGCACTTGGGAGGCTGAGGCAGGAGGATCATGGTGAGTTTGAGACCAGCCTGGGCTACATAGTGAGTTCCAGGTCAGTCTCAACTACACAGTGAGACCCTGTCTCAAAACAACAACAACAACAACAACAACAACAACAACAACAAAAATTGGAACAATACAGAGATTAGCATGGAAAAAAGAGTAAGATTTTGGACCAAAGGAAAAGTATTTAAAAGTTATAGTTTTTCATCAAATATTTAGATTGTGCTTACTGTATTCTGGGCTCTGGGGATCCAGACACAATCAGCTCATGACCGTAAGGATCTCATAGTCATCTAAAGGCATTCAGAAAAGGAAAACTGCAACGTGGGCACAAATTTCCATGAGGGATGTTCAGGTGTGAGAGAGGATGTGGGAGGGATGATATTCAGAAATCTACACACGGGGACATTTTGAGCTCAACCTCGAAAGGAGGGTGTTAACAGTTTAGATCTAAAATTTCCCCAAGTCTCATGTGCTTGGAGGAGGGGCCTGACTGGAGGTGGGTCACTAGCTCCTCTCCTCTCTCAACTTCCTCGCTGTCACTGTGTGAGCAGCTTTCCTCTACCACACCCTTCTTGCCTTGGAGCCAGCTGATTATGGGATGATTACTCAAGAAATCGAGCCAAAATAAACCTCTACTCCTTTAAATTGGGAGTGTCAGATAATTTGTCCAAGAGATAACTAACTAAGGCAGTAGCTAAATTTTTCCGAAGCAAAGAAGCTAGGAGAGAGTGGGCCATAGAATTAGTGGAAATGTGCCTACTCTACTTCCTTTGAAGACAGCTACCTTTTGTCCTTATTCTACCTGAAGTTATATTCTTTTATTCCGAGCCACTGTACCCTGAAAAAATAAGAAAAGGATGTTTAAAAGGGCTTGTTCCCTGAGTGGATTCCTTACCCTTCCATGGCTTAAGGGCTGCCAAGTAGAACTAACAGATTCCCTTTACTGAGGGTCTGTCATACGTAAGGAGCTTTGTACAAATTCTTCAAGTAGACTTCCAAAGCAGAAACTGACCTCATAATAGATGAGGAAGATTAGGTTTAAAGTGTTACCTGTTCAAATATCTAGTAAGTGTTACACTGAAGACCCACTATCTGATCCATGATGGTCGGACATACAAAACAGTATTTCTGGTTTGGTTTTGTCTTTTCTCCCACAAAATTAGGTTGCTCCCAGGCAAGAATGCTGCTACCAAGGCAGGGCAAACTGAAGCATTTCCCCAGATGGCACTGTGCTTGTCTGTTTCTTATCTCTTCACAGCTCAACTCAAATGAGGTCTCCACGGAAAGACCTTCCCCAAGCACCCAGATGAACAGCCCAGTTAAACTGCCCTTCATTACTTCATTTAAGTTTATGGAGCCTCCCTGATGGTGATGATCAGAACCTGAAATTATTTTGTTGTATGTCTTTTATGTGTATTATAGGACTGGAATGTAAACTTGTGGAAGGAGATCTATATGTCTATTACATCATTAACATTGAAAGAGAACTTAGCACACAGTTGGTGCTCAATAAATATTTGTTGACTGACCATTGTCTCATTAACAGCTGCAAATGTGTTCAACTGCAACACACAGAGTGGACAGAGGATCTGAGTAATGGATTCTACTTATGGTTTTATATTGTCTTAAATACTATAGACTATTGAATTACCTTTCTATATTTACATTTGTAAAACATCTCTAATTTCTAAGAAATTACTAGGAAAGAGCCAAATAACATACATAAAGCACTTATTTCTCTTCGTAACTCATAATACATTTCACCTTCATCTTCAAAGTCACATTAGACTCAAGATAGAGGGGTGGTTCATTTTTCAAAACACAATTTCCTTTAATAGTAGATCATAAATTGACTCAGACTAATGAGTTTCAGACAAATACCTCTGGCTACTGAACAAATCATGAATAAAATCTAGCACTGAATATTCACCAGCAAAGTTTCTGCCTCACGGCAATGCTCAAGTGCCCTCTAGTGTGAGTTAGTTTTCACATTCATGCTTTGCTCCACACATCATGTGGTTAAGATCCTACCATGCAATCAAAGTGCATTTTAATGGACAATCAGCAGATCTATGAATAAAAGGGAAAAGGCTGTGGAACAAATGAATGTAAAGGATCAGTGGTTCTCCTCTGACCTATTACATACAAGCAAAAAATGAAATTAGGTAACACCCTGTAGTCATAGGATGGAAAGCTTTTTGGGATGCTACAAAATGTGTATTATACATTTTGCAAATGGCCCCATCCCATTTTATTGCTATTTTTCAATTTAATTTTTAAAAAGTTAGTATATAGGGGATGGTTAAAAAATGAGAGCTATGCAAAGTTATAAATTGAAAAGCTGCTCCTGTACATTCTCTTCACCCCTCACAATTAACTATGTAGTGGTCTACGAGTTTTTAGCATACCAAGTAAATAAGATATGTTTTTATTCTTTCCACTTTAAAAATACTCTACATGCTGTTCTATACCTTTAATGTCTCTTAATAGTAAATTCTGTCAAGTTGTCCATAAAAGTTTATGAAGAGTGTCCTTATTTGAAAAAAAAAACAAACAAACAGATGTAGTATACTCTAACTGCATGGTTGTACCATAACTTAACTACTCCCCAACTGACAGATGTGGCTTCCAATGTTTTGCTGTTACAAATAAGACTGAAACAGGGCTGAGAATTTAGCTCAGTGGTGCTGCACCTGCCTTGCAAGTGCAAGGCGCTGTGTTTGATCCCCGGTACCAAGAAAACAAAACAAAACAAATAAGGCTGAAAAAAAATAATCTTGTACAGGTGTGATTTCAAAACTGCACACGTTTCTAGGATAAATCCCTAGGAATAGAATATGTTGGACCAAATACTAATTGCCAAACTTTATACAGTATTTCTTATGAGCCAGGTGCTAATCTAAGCACTATAAATATATTTCCATTTAATCTTCTTAATAATCCTATAAGGAAAGTACTATTATTATTATTATTATTATTCCATCTTAAATATGAGGAAGCTAAGGCATAGTGAGGGTTAGTAACCTGCTCAAAGTCAGATAGCTAGCAGGTGGCCTCAACCAACCCAGCTCCAAAGAATATATTTGTATTTTAAATACACATAAAAACAAATTGTCCTTTGTACTTGTCATACCAAATTATTATCTTGTCAGTTTGACTGTATTCTTTTTGCTATCATGTTCATCAAACTTTTTCTTTTTTTTGAGACAGGTTCTCACTCTGAAGTTCAGGGTTGCCTTGAACTCACAAAGTAGCCCAGGCAGGCCTCAAACTCACTAAGATTCTGCTGCTTCAGCCTCCAAAGTGTAGGAATTACAGGCACACACCACCATGCCCAGCTGGAATTTTAATTATTTAATTAGGAGGACAAACTGATTCTCAATATAAGGTTAATTTGCATTTCTTTTATAATCACTGAAATTATCTTCTATGTTTAACAGCCATACACATTAATTTTTCTGTCACTTGCCTATGAATACTTTTACGTATCTTCCTATTGAGATTTCAGTCTTTTTCTTAGTAATGTGAAAAAATATTTATATGTTAGTGTTATTACTGTTTAGTCTATCACCTTAATTAGTAATATTTTTCCTAGTTTGTTCTTTATATGTTGACCTTGCTTATGTTTTTCTGGTAGAATTTTTCTGACATTTCTAAAATTTTATATCTATAAAATATTACAAATAAAAAGCTCTACATAAAATGATAAAATTACCAATCTTTTATAGATTCTGGATTTCAAAACAATTTCAAGGTTTTAGGAGAATACTCCCACTTTTTTATGTTATTTTTATGATTTAATTTTAAGAAATAAAATATTTGATCCAGATGGAATTTTATCTTGTACATGAGATATGGATACAACTTGATTTTTTTCCCTGAGAGATACATGTTTTTGTTTTTGTTGTTGTTGTTTTGGTACTGGGGATCGAACTCAGGACATTGCACTTGCAAGGTAGGTGCAGTGCCACTGAGCTAAATCCCTGGCTCACCTACTTGTTATTTTTTAATGGTCCATCATTTCTTCCCTGATTTGATGACTTCATATGCTGCCTGTTATCTTTATAAAGTCATAGTATTACATAATATATTTTCATATGTAATTTGGCTCTATTTCTAGACTTCTCTATTCTGTTCCCTTTTGGTGCCTGTAAATGCATTAATATTATCCCAGTATTTAATTATTGAGGATTTATAATAAAATACATTATTTAGTAGTTCTAGATCCTCTCATTACTCTTAATTTCCAGAACTTTCTTTATTGCACTTACCTATATTTCATTTGAATTTAATAATCAGTTTGTCAACTTTCATTTAAAAAACCCCAACCAGGGATTTAGCTCAGTGGTTCTGCTGCCTGCCTGGCAAGCCCAAGGGCCCTTTTAGAGCTTTTAATGATAACAAAACAGCTCCCTGCAGCACACCTGCCATAAGTTCACCACTGCTGTCTATACCTACTGAGTAAGAACTTTGGGAGGCTATTCTTATTGAATACGTTTTAAAATTTTAATTGGCACATAGTTGTATACATGTATGGGATACAGTATGACATTTCAATAAAAGTATAATGATAGGATGAGAATAACTTGCATATCTCAAATTATTTATCATTATTTTGTGTTGAGAACTGTGTTAATCAACTTTCTTTTACTTTCGCAAAATACCTGAGTTAATCAACTTACACAGAAGGTGAATTTATGCTGGATTACAGGTGTAGAAGTTTCAGTCCATAATTGACTAGCCCTGTTGCTTTTGGGCCTGTGGTAAGCAGCACATCATGGCAGGTGGTAGGGTGGTAGGGGTGGTAAGGGTGGCAGATGGGAAGCAAAGGAGAAGAGGGAGAGGCAAGAAATAAAAACCCAGAAAAAAACATAATGACCAGAAGACTCCTCACTGGGCCCCACCTCTTAAAAAAGTTTTCATGACCTTCCAATAGTGTCAAACTGGGGAATCAGTCTTTAACACATGGAACTCTTAGGGACACTTCATATCCAAAATATAGCAGGAAAATTCAAAATTCTCTGTACTAGCTATTTTGATCTATTTAATTGTTGTCCACCTCAGTTATCCTACAGCAGCAATCTGTTTTAATAAGCTTTCCAGATGGATCTGACACATGCTAATGTCTGGGAGCCAATGATCTAGATCAGTGTTCTCAATCTGGGCTAAATATTAGAATTATGTAGGGACTGTTGGTGAATACTCATGCTTAGATGAATTAAATCAGAATTTCAGTGCTTCAGCCAAGGAATCAGTATAGTCCTCTAGTGATCCCTAAGTCAAACCAAGGCTGAAAGCCATCACTCTAGTCTGGAACAATGGTTCTGAAACCTGGCTTCACAGCAGAAGTACATGTGGAGCTTTAACAAAAAAATACCAATGTTGAGGATCTCACCTAGAGATTTTTTTTTTCAGCTTTAATTAAGTTTATTGGTACATTTTAGGGATACAGTAACAGTCATTGTTGGGATCTTGTACCTCTACATGACAAGTCTTGATTCTCATTTATATTGATCTGGGTGCAGCCAAGGGTCACTTTCTACATGAGCTTCTCAGCTGATTCTAATATCCATTTACTATTCCAAACCACTGTTCCAAAAATGCCATTTTCCCCACAAGTCATTTAAAGGGAATATAGTTTGAGGGTGGTGGAAGAAATACATTTTCATTTCCCATCTGTTTACTCAGACCTTGCAGTGTGTTAGGCTAGTTTCTATGAAGATTAAAAACTAAATACAAACCACATTTCCGGCCCAGAGAGAACATATAATTTATGTCAATAGAAGAGACCTGGACACATTTATATATAAATAATGATTCAAAAAGAACAAGCATTTTGTGCCATTGAATATAATTCAGTAAAACAAGTTATATGTATCATTATATCACTGTTAGGTCAAATTCCTTTCTATTCTTTTCAAGAGTAAAAAAGGAAATATATGTTGAAAAAACGGTGAAAAAACAATTTGGAATGCAATTATCAATCAGCATTTGAACCTGGAGAAAGAAGTAGAAAGATCAATGGTTCCTTCAAATAGTAATACAAGAATTTAAACACTGAACAAATAAACCTGAAATGATTAAAAGTTCTTTCTGGGCATAACAAAGCGACAATTAGGTCATGAAATCACTGGCAGTCACTTTATCCCAATTGTGTCTGTTAAATTAAAATTACCTTACAACTACTAACAAAATTAGCAATTTAGAAATCAGCAATAGAAGAGTTTATAATAAATTTTTCCCTTTTATTATTAGAAATATAACTCTTGGACTATCTGCCTTTCCTTCTAGATCAGCTTCTTCCAGGGACACTATTTTAATGAAAAATAACTGTCCCAGTCTGGGATAAATTATTAGTTAAAGAATTCTGCATAGATAGTGGACTGCTGAATTAATTTATATTTAAATGAATAATCAAGCAAAATTCAAAATTTCCCATGTGTGTGAAACAAAAAAGTACACAACTAAAATGTTGTAAAATATTTAAAATTAGTGTTTGTTTTTATAATTCAACTAAGTATACTGCACAATCCTTTCATATTATTATCAGCTACAAAGGCAAAAATATCACATACTCCTTTAAGACTAAAAAGGGTTTCACGCTTGTAATCCCAGAACTCCACCCATTTGGAGGACTGCACATTCAAGCCCAGCAGGAGGACAGCAAGTTTGAACCCAGCCTGGACAACTTAGTGATTTAGTGAGACACTGCCTCAAAAAACAAACAAACAAACAAACAAACAAACAAACAAACAAACAGCTAGCTAGCTAACAGCAGGAATGTAACTCAGTACAAAGGCTTTGGGTTCAGTCCTAAGTACTGGAAAAAAAATGATATATTCAGAAAAATCACAAACATTCATCCATCTCATCTATTTCATTCCATTAGAATGAGGTTAAAATAGGTTAAAGCACTTTAAATAACACCAATTGAGATACAGAGTAGATCTAAGTGCATCCACATTTACCACAGTACCACTTCCATATCTGAAAATGACTAGGTGATGAATTTTCAAGCTGTTTTTTAATAAGGGTGGTTAATTGTATGATCCAACCACATACTTTCTTGTTTCCATGATACATCCACTAGGCAGTGGGTGGATAAGACCTTTGTGTGCCCATGAACAGAACTCGGTCTACTTACTTACTTCAGCAGGTTTTGAATACATCACTTGGAATAGAACTTACCTTCAAAATGATCATATGAGCAAAAAAATGTCACTTATTATTTTTCTGGTTTACCTAGATGGAAAGACTAAGGTTCAATCATGTCATTACACAGGGCAATAAAAGATGGTATGTTGATTATTAGAGTCATCTAGAGTTAAAAAGAAAAAGGCTCTATTTCCCTGCCCCCTTTCTTAAGTGGCCCAATATGTACACAGACTGAGTTGAGAATTAACTCTGTATATGAGTTGCAACTATAGATATGAACAGGTTAATGTTACTTCCAATGTGTTAGGACATTTAATAGTGTTGGCACTCAATGCTAGAATGGAAACAAAGGCAATTGGCATAAGAATCAAATACTCAATCTTATTTTTTAACCTACTAGAACACATAGTTTTAAAAAAATTCTACAATTCCTTAAATGGGAGGTATTTGGATATAATTGCATTATAGCAATTACAGTACTATAAACCATCAATGGCTTTTATTCTGCTCTCAAGAATTTGTGGAACAATTCCCTTCATTCTTCAAGAAAGGGCAACATAAGAATGTAGTACGGAAGTGCTTGTTTTGCCCAGATGAGTGGTTAAAGTAACATCATCACCCCCAAAGAAAGGATATCCAGCCATTTCAAACATACACAAATTCTAGTTTGGTTTAGGAAGAGATTTTTAAGCAGCCACTACATACCTGTTCTAGATGAGTTTCCCCCCTTTTTTTATTGTGAAGTTGAAGATAAGAATCTGTTTTAGGAGTAGGTAATCCCAATGTAAGCTTATTTTTTTCCACAAAATATTGTTTAGACTTCCTTCTTCGAGGGCCACGTGATCCTGGGAGGAATACCTCATTATGTGAACTTGAACTCTTCAGGTACTTAGAGAGGTTGCTTGACTTCTCTTCCTGGTCACTGTCACTTGGCTCTGAAAATGGCTCACTGACTTGGGAGCCAGGCTCATAGTCTGGGCTTAAAAATTCACTTCCGAGTAAGGTGGCTGCACTCTGAGGACACTTTTTCTGTTTTTCTTTTCCCTCTGAGAGTTCCATTGAAGTCTCCTTGGAAGGGTAGAGTGGCACCAAGGGCAGATTTTCTGAAGAGCTGTCTGCAGACTCTGGCAAGGTTTCCACAATCAACAACTGCACTTCCTCTTTCTTATTTTTCCAGTTCGGATCATATCGGAGGTCTGAATATTTGTCCTTTATAAGCTGTTGGCTGCTCAAAGCAGAAATAAAAATGGTAAGTCCTTAACCAAAATAAATTCACTCACTGAATTCATTTGGTCATTTTACTCATAAAATCAGTCTCACTCTAATTACATTTCTCTTTTACTATCTATATGTTAAAGATGTACCTGGGGCTCATTAGATCCACACACTATACACAAAGACAACAAGATCTTATCTAAGTTTATCAAAATATGGAATAAGGCCAGGGATTTAGCTCAGCGGTTCAGTGGCCTGCCTTGCAAGTGCAAGGACCTGAGTTCAATCACCCGTACCAAAAAAAAAAAAAAAAAAAAAAAAAAAAAAAAAAGAAAAATGGAAGACAGCTACATTCTAAATGCCAGAAAACAAAAGCAAATGTCTACCACATTCGATGAATCAGAGGTTCAAAAATGTATCAGTTATACCACAAACAATAATTCAGTATTTCAGCTGTAAAGATAAATTGTAATTCACACTTTAGTTGGTACAATGCACATTTGGCTACTTATATAGGAAGGGAAATACGGATTATTGTCTAGACAACATTTGTCTCAGCCTGTTCCTTTTGGGAAAAAAGCCAGTTTTATTGCAGCTGAATAGTTACACAAGTTCATCCTTTTAAAAACATTTGTTTTTAGTAATTTTGCTTTTCACTTCATTTTTGTCTTTGTAGATTTTGGCAAATGTTCTACAGAAAGATTTCCAAGGCTTAGAATAAGACTGTGGCTCACTCAAGGTTCATAGTCCCTTGGTTATTAGATTTATGTACAGAATATTTAGTAAATAGATCAGCATGCACTTGACACTCACTGTAGGATACACCTGTTTGAATAAGATGTTAAGCATATGGTTCTGCCTCAGGAAAGTGAACTAGTCCACAATCCATGTGGATGACCCCAAATAAAGTTCTCTTTTCCCCATGGCAATCTAAATTTGTAAAGCACCCCCTAGTCTTAACCAAAAAGGAAAAAAATGCTGATAATATGGCATATTTAATGGCCTCTTTGATCTTCAAAAGCTAAATGGGAGAGATTTTCCTTCCTTGAGTACAGTGGATTCAATCCTCTAATCAAAAAGAAAATGTAAATCACCCAGGCTTTTTATGTTATTTGATATTCCCGTTTACAGAAACATAATTTTATGCTGGTAAACAAAATAATGGTCCCCCTAATACTAATTTACTCTTTTTAATGTGAATCTAGATTTCTTTGACTTGATGTAAAGCAAAAAAAAAAAGAGGGAGAAAAAGCCTAAACTCCCATGCCTTGTCAAACTATTGTAATTTCAAATTTTGTAGTTTGTATATTAAGGTGGAAAACTTTTTTTAAATAGTCTGCTCTTTTCCATCAAGAGATGAGATGTGACCTCTTCTAGAAAAATGCCTGAATGTGAATGGTCCATGTACCAGAAAATGGGAAAACAAACTGCCCTGCTGTGCCCTGAGCCTGCCTTTGGGCTTTCATGGGAAGTTTCTCCTGGGTGCTGTCTCTTCCCATGAACTAACAGCATCTCTTGGCCTGGCCTTCCACTTGGCTCCTAAGTGTCATTGGACATGTGCACAGGACATGGTGTTGGCCATCAGGGCACCATCTAGACTTGGACTGGACATACCTGGACTCAACTTTTGAGTCTGCACTGCCTGTTATGTGTCAGTTGGCACACGATGTCACCCTTGAGCTAGTCTCTGTCATCCATAACTAGGGATAAATTATATTTATTTCTCATGACTGCATAACACTAAGGATCAAGATGAGGCAGTGTTCTTAAAGTGCACTTTATTTGTGCTTACTTAACTTTTCATGATCGTACTCCTATCTCCTCACCTAGGTAAGGTCCTGGGTAGCAAGGACTGTGTGTTATCTTCCTTCCCTAACCTCTGTAATGGTACACTGCGCCACACTCTGGTCATAAAGGATCAATAAATGCTTCTAGATTAAATAAGTGCATCTCTAAAAAGTCAACCAAAAAAAGCACTAGATATTTTTATTTTTAAACCAATAGTAATAAATTTGAATCTAAACATGCTGGAGTTTTTCGCAGTAGACCAAATTAGTGAATGATTTTCAAGTTTATCTTATATAGAGTGAAACACAGGCTCAACTGTGATTGTTCTAGTGTAGAAGAAAACCCAGTTATTATATTAAATAAAAAATTTTAATGATAAAATGTGTTTCCTATATCCATAATATATTGAAAGGAAAAACTGAACTTTATTCTTCATTGATTAGTTCCCTCATTGATCTGACAAGTCTTTATTTACTGAACACTTACTGAACCAGAGGGATACAGTGGTGAGTGGCACAGCATTGGGCCCACACCTGGTGGGAATTCAAACAAGAAAACAATGTACAATTTGAAGTGGTGCCTGCTCCAATGAAGGGCACAGGGCCGTCCAGACTCAGGAGGGACATCCACTCCTTGCTTGGGACATTGGGGAGAGCTTTCTGAAGGCAACATGGTATTTCTGAGACTTAGGCTAAAGAAATATATGCCAGGCCAAGAGAATGGCATGGAAAAAGGAATGAAAGGGAGACAGAATGTGGTACTTTCCAAAAACAAATTCTGTATGGAGAAAATGGAGAGCTGAGAGGGGATAAGGCTGAAGAACAGAGATCAAAGTTAAGCAGAGGTCAGAATTTCTTTTTGTCATTACTGGGCATTGAACCAAGACCTTCACACTGAACTTCACCCCCAGCCCTTTCCTTTCTTTTATTATTAGTTTTTATTTTGAGACACAGGGACTCACTAAGTCACTAAGTTGCCCAGTTGGGCTTGAACTTGCAGTCCTCCTGCCTCAGCCTCCAAGAGTCCTGGGAGTACAGATGTGTACCACTGTACCTAGATCAGAGTTCAGATCTTGAGTGACTTTGTAAGCTCTATAAGAGTCTGTGCTATGTAAATTAACCTGAGAGTTTAATTAGTAAGGGAATGTAGAATAAACATTTTTTGGACAAAGTGATGAGTTTTCGGAAGAGTTTATCTACATAGACTATAGAGTCTTTGGGGGAATGTTTAGAACAGGCAATCCTTTATTTACACAGCTTAGAGCTGGGCTGGCTATCTCCTAGGGTGCTAACCCTGGGATGCCTTGTCTGCCACTCTGTGGGGGGATGGATTATGGAAAGAAAGATAGCATCATCATTTTATGCTAATATAAGGAAGGCTTGTAGTGAATCTTGTTTTTTCCTCAAAACAACTTTGAGGGAGAAACTGCTCTATTATCATCTCCATTTAACAGATAAGAAAACAGGTTCAGAGAGCTTAGGAAAGTTTTCCAAGGTAACAGAGCTACCAGTGGTGGAGCTAGGATACAGGCCCTGGTAGTCTGCTCTGGAAACTGGCTAGCATCCAGTAAATTGCCCTGTACCACACAGGTGTTCCCACAGGAGGTCATGCGGAAAGCCTGCTGTAGCATGTGTCATAGGTGAGTTAGTAACTCACTTGGTCAGTCAGCAGAGGTGTTGGGTGCCTCCTTCTGTTCAGGCAGACTACTAAACATAGAAGATATAGCAGTGAGCCAAACAGTCACACTGATGGATCTTTCCAGTGAGGATAGGCTTTATGAACTAATTACTAGTTAGTGAATTAGAAGTGTAAAAGAAATACAAGATATTGTGGATATTTAAAATAGTAGGACAGGACTGGCTCGGTGGTAAAGCACTTGCTTAGCATGCATGAAGTCCTGAGTTCAACCCACAGCACTGCAAAAATGAATACATGAATGAATATATAGGACATAACCTTGTTCACTAATGAAAATATATTAACTTATTTTCCAATTCAATTGCTAGATATCTCAAAGTCTATTCCAATGCCATTGTTCTATGACCTATGACAGACTCACAAAGGATCAATAATTGAGTATTGCCAATGTCTTTTAAATGGGTAGTGGCAATGGTTTGGACATGAAATGTTTCCCAAAGGCCCATGTTTTGAAGGCTTGATTCCCAGCCCGTAGCACTACTGGGAGGTGGTAGAACATTCAGGAGATAGAGGAAGGAAGTTAGTAAGCTGGGGGCATGTCCTTGAAGGGAATATTGGGACCCTGACCCCTTTTTCTTTCTCTTCACTTCCCATCTGTCATAGGGGAGCAGGTCTCTTCTACCATATGCTCCTATATGATAGACTGTGCTGCCACAGGCCCAAAGCAAGAAGGCCAAGAAACCATGAACTGAAATACTGAAACTGTGAGCCAAAATATATCTTTCCTCCTTAGAAGTTGTTTATCTCAAGTATTTTGTCACAGTGATGGAAAATTGAATAAAAAGTAGTGTTGAGTAACTAGAGGAAATGGATTCTCTAGCTTCTATCTTCAGTTATACTAAGAAAATTGGTGCACCCTGATTGGTCAATGAATTTAACTGTGTCAACCAATAATGGCATAACATCTACAAGGATGGTTATAGACTTTATTTAGTCATATGTAATATTTGTGGTGCTCTGTTTCTCTGAATTGTGACAAAGTATTGTGGTCCTGAGCAGAGGGTCTAAGGAAAAGGGCCCTACAATTAGGATGCCTGCATACAATACCTGGTGCCACCAGCTACTATGTGAGTGTGGGCAAGCCACTTAACTTCTGTGCATGCCTCTGAGTACCGTCTCAGTAAGTACTAGCGATGTAAGTGTGTGTCAATGAGTTCTGTCACTGGTCTTCCCTTGTGTGTGTTACACTCAGTCACCATAACATAATGTTGTTGTTATGTATTGTGATTCCTGCTGATGGAGTCAAGGGAGCCTTCACTCCTTAGAGTATAAGTTATTTACAGGGCACAGAAAGATTTTCATGTGGCCTGAAAGATTTAACATCTCTAAAAACTAGTTTTCAGTCATGACTTAAGTATTGTGGAGAATGTCTGAATCATAATTCAGGAAACGGGATTGAGAAATGTCAATGTTTTCACATGATGGAATATTTTAACAACCACTGAAAATAAAGAGGAAGATAAAACTGGGAGAATTAAATTATTTTAGACTTAAAAATGCCATGGCTTCTAACAACAGATCTCC